TGTAGTGCATAAGGGAGTGTAGCACAGGCACTGTGTTCTTTAGAGGCCTGGCACCCTCCTCAGCACAAGTACAAATCCCATCAGATCAAGGCAGTGAAATGCCCACTGCAGCCTCAGAGAATTATAGAATTACAAATTGCTCTAACTTCAGGAAATAAAAACCACCACCACCACTTCAATCTGAGGAGAACACTCACCCAAAGTTGTTTTCAACTAGCTCCAAGAAGAAAAAAAAGAATGACGTGGCACAACCTCTGTAAGAACTGTCACTTCCTACCTCAGGGGATGCTGAGGGTTCTTCACTGCAAACTACCATGCAGGAAGATGTAGAGCCATCGGAGCTCATCCTTGGGAAGGGAGATACAGAGGGGTCAAAGTGAAGAGGGGGGTGGAGATGGTTCTCTAAGAGCATATGGCACAAAAAAGTTCTAAGGACATTCAGAAGGAAGAGGATATCTTGTCATTGCTACAAAATGTTCTAACTCCAAGGTTGAGGTCACAGTGCCCAAAGGATGCCTTATGGGCTTTTTGCTTCATCACTTTTGCGCTTTGAGCTGAATTAAACTGAACACGTTTTTAGGATAGTTGCTCTGTGCCTGTGATGAGGAAGGTCCACTGACATCCCAGGTGAGCTCAAATACACGTCGGAATCAGATGGCTAGGCCAGCTGCTGGCCTCCCATAACAAATATAGCCAGTCACTTGCGAATGAGATCACACAGTTATGATGGGTCCTGAAAATCTCAGTTTAAATGCTCAGAAGCAGATGAGAAAGCACGTACAATATTTCCTCATCTCTAAAAGGATAGAGCAGAAGTGAAAAAAAGATCAGAGAAGGGCAACAAAGGGCATGAAAGCTCCATACACAATGCCACCAAATTAGATTTCTTCAGCTAAGGGAAGAGATAATGAAAAGAGAAGTTACAGACGTCTATGAGATCAAGAATGTAGATGGGTACTGACTGTTGACTGTGTCCTCCACTACAAGGTAGGAGGATATTGAAAGGAGTATTAAGTAAATATAGATGTATATGGGATGCAACGTAGAAGGTGCTTTGGCCAGGAGTTCAACCACAGACACCAAAAGCCTACAAAGGTCTCACAGAATGGAAACAAACATGGATAAGAAAGTCACTGAAAATTACTGAATACACAGAAATCACATTTGGTTTAGGAAATCCCTGAGCTGAAAGTAGTTGAAAACTAGTACTATTACCAGAAGTTATCACCTTCAAGCAGGGGAAGCTGGAGCAGATTGCTCAGGACCATGGCAGGAAGCACATTTTCCCTGTGAGGGTGAGCAAGCATTGGCACAGGCTGCTCAGAGGCTGTGGAGTCTCCTCCTTGGAGACCTTCAGATGCTGCCTGGCCATGGGCCTGGGCACCCTGCTCTGGCTGACCCTCCTGGAGCAGGGCTGAGACCTGATGGATTTGCCAACTTCAGACAAGCTGCGATTCTGTTGTCTCCATGGACAGGAGACTCCACAATCTCTTTGTCAGTGTTTGATCATTCTCAATGAAAAAAAAGTGTTTTCTGATGTTCAGTATATACTTTTTTGTGCCCACTCTTCTTGTCCTACCAGCAAACATTGCTGAAAAGTGTTTCGTTCCCTCTCCTTCACTCCCTTCTTTTCAGGTATTTATACACAGTAAGATCCCTCTGATTCTTCTGTTCTCCCATCTGAACAGCTCCAGCTGCCTCACCTTCTCCTCCTGAAATGCTCCAGTCCCTTATCAGCCTATCCCTGCAAGATCAAACAGCATCCCATACACCTCCTGTGTCAGCTGCCCCTACTTCCACCATACACTGATGTCTGAGCTCACGCTGAAGGTCTTGCATCTGTTCCTTCCTGTCACTCCTCCACCTCCTCCTCCCCAGCTGCTTTCCTTTACATCAGGCTCTTCAGTTTCCCTGCAGGAATTTCATTTCCTTATTAATGATCCATTCAGTTCCTCAAATATAAGTTCCTCAAATGTAAGTTCCAGCACTACCAAATCTTCACTCACCACGCAGCTACGGTTCAGTCCTTCTCCATAAAGATGCCCATCACCCACGTGAGGCTAGAGCTGCACCAGCAAGTGGTTAAGCACCGCAGAGCCAGATTTGCAGTGAGAAACCTGATGCTCATGCTACATGCTTCAGTGAGTTTCACCTTGAACTAAGCCTGGCTTGAGGCCGGTACATGGAAGAAACACCCAACAGCAGTTGTTGCAGGCTGGATAAAGCTCTGGAGTGGCTTCCTGGCTAAATTTGATCCAAACCCAATCCATTTAGTGCCCAGCAAAGGTTCCATACTGGAAAGCAATGAGTGCCAGACTGGACCACCATCTAGTTCTACTTCCCCCAGCCTCCATCTGCTGCCGACTCTCTCCTTCTTCTAATGTCGCCCCATTCATTCAGCAGAGCTCTAATGAGTTTGCAGCTGCACTGCTCCCTCATTACATGGCATCACTCCACAGCCCATTTTCCCAAGGCATTCCTGTGCTCTCCTTCCCTTGATTACGGAGACACAACTAAGACCAGGAAAAGTCAAGCTAACAACTCCAGAAGAGAAACCCAACACAAGCTGTACTCTCCCTCCATCTCTCTCTTCCATATTGACTCGCATTCAAAGAATTTCAGGTGCCCATTACTGCTACTGCAAGCTGTTTTACAGTTGTAGTGTTGCAGGGATTCCAGATTCTGCTTTTTTTCTTTGAAAAGTTTGCTTTCCAGACCTCTTGCTTGCAAAGAAAACCCTGAGAGTTTCACCTCTAAGAAACAGATGGCAATAAATTTATTTTTAAATACGGTAGGCATCCAGCTATTCCCAAGAAACCTCCTGAAGAGCAAATAAAAAATCAGTGGAAACTTCTTTCTTTCCTTCTCTTTTGTGAAATGGGACAACACTGCCCCATAAGCAGTACCCTCCTTCCTTTTCTTCTACTATGCTTGTTATTTACTCATTTTAACATATTGATAATAATACTTCATTTGAATAGTAATTACAGTTTTTTATTGCAAAATCACAACAATTACTAGCAGTAAGTTTGTAAGTAGATATCCTCAAGCAAGAAGAAAACGCCCCAAACCTTCCAGCTGGGCTGTGGCTGGAGGCTGTGCCACCACCCCTAGGCTGTACTACCACCCACCGGCTTCAGGCTGAATCAGCAGCAGCACTGACATCGCCTGCGCTCCGCTGCTGCAGCACAGCCTCCTTTCACCCAACTTCCCATTCCTCTCTGTATTTCTATCAGCCTGTGGATGCCAGCAGCTGGAGGCTTCTCATGCCTCATGTTCAGCTGCCGGCTAAACAGATCACCAGTTATGGAAGCATTATATTCAACCGCAGCCAAACCCAGCAGGAATTTTTGTTTTCCAGGAGGATGAGAAGTCCTTGGTAGCTGGCTCAAGAATGCATTTTTTTCCCCCACAAAAAAAATATGAAAATTTATAAGAGTCAATTTTTTTTTTCCTTGAAAGTTAGCCTAACAGACATTCTATTTTCAGGTGTAAAGTTTTCTTCACAGATGTACTTATCTGGATTATCCTTCTAACTCTGGAAAGCATCTTCACACATGATCACTCTAAATCTCAAGATCAAAGTCTTTGGGAACAGTTCCTGTAAGTGACAGAATCCAAATTAAGCTCGCTACTTACTTCTTAGCACTTAAACTACTTAAGACTGAAGGTTCTTGTCAGCAGAAGCAATGAACTGCTGTCAGCTCAGGTAACATCAGTGCAATCTAATGAATCTTCAAATCTTAAAATGCAGTTTATCATTTGGCTGGGTAAATCAAACCTGTCTCTTTTCACGTCAGTTAGGCGTATCCTTCCATAATTTCCCTAGTTTTTATGGCACCTGTAGTATACTAGCATTTGGAAAACATTGTGGGTCCAAAGGTAACAAATTACAAATATCAGCCCATGTGCCTGTTTCAGACAAAGCTTATCAGTTAAGTACATATTTAGCTAAGACAGTTCATGTTTTTCTCCAAGAGCTTGGAAAAATAAGAAGATCTAAGATTGAGTCCACCCTTCCTATCATGTAAACACAGCTTTTATTATATATAAACATGTATCTTGCATTCTGCAAATATAATCCTGTTTTTTTTTGTTTTTCTTTTGCTATTCCCACTCGGTGAGACTCAGTGGGAACAAGGAGACAGCCATGGTAGCACTAATCAGCCCACTCGGGCAGAGCCAGCATGTGGTTCTAGTTAGTATTATGAGAACTCCTTAACTTTATAAACTTTCTGAACTATGGTCAAGATCAACTTGTTATAAGAACATTCATATATCTGGCTGTAGCCTTACATCATTACAGAACATACATGGGCATGTCTTTTCATTAGATTTCACTCAGAAGGACTGATTAGACTTCATTATTTAGGCATTAGCTCAAGCATACAGAACTTCTTGGAAATGCAACTGTTGCTACAGGGGAACATCTGAACAGTTTAATGCTTAGACACTGACAAAAGTAAGGAGGGTGTGGGAATAGAAGGGCTGGGCTCCTCTTCAAATAGTTAAATTCCTGTGATACAGAATTATATGTTTTAGACTCACTCTGTTTAATTTCAGGTAATAGTTTTGTATTAAAACTACTTTTGGAGCCTAATGATTTTGACCTCACAATCTTAAAAACTTTTAGGAAACGTCACCTCAGATACTCATTCAGAATCTGGCCTCTGCTGCTGCTGGGAGATGAGACCATATGTTTTTGAAAGCTGTATCTATTAACACATAACCCTCACTGCACAACTGCTTACCTTTTTCTTTGCTTGCAACGTAAAACCAACAAGCATGATGTTGTTTCCCTGATGTATGTCTTATTCCTCTGAATTTTGTATATTTGCAGTGAGTTCTTACAGCAATAAAACAGTAGTAAAATTGGTTTTCAACAGGAACATAGAAATTAAAGATTAACAACTGCTAGATGTTACAGGAAGCTGTAGAAAAGGTTCTCAGAAGTAACCGTGCAGTTCAATACTGTTAGGTGAAACGCAATACATCAGGTGTTACATAAGCCATTCGTTTATTGACAATTTACTCACATTCCAGGCAGCACAGACAGTCCCAGTCACTGCACAGAGGTGTGAAAGGGAATAGCATCAGGTCAGGTGAGGCGTCCAATACAGGCTCAGTCCAAAGATGGCCCTGCCTCAACTTAACATTCCTTTTCTTTCTGATGGTAAATTATATGTATCATACCCACTTGGTTACACATCACATGATAACATGTTGCAATAATCAGAAACTGTGGTCACAGTGACCTGATGACCATCAGTAGGCACAGGATGTTCACATCATGAACTTGGACTACACTGCCCAAGCCAAGTCACGTCCTTGACTCCTCACCAATCTTCCCAGTCCTCCTCTTGCCACCCCTGCACATCCTCAGGTGGTGCAATTCTCCACACCGACTGCAGGGACCAAGTACTTTCACCTCAGTGTGTTTAAATAAAAAAAAGAAAACCAAACCAAAAATAACTGCTTTGTGGTAGTTATTTACATTTGCAGCAGCCCTGATTTGTTAAAAGAGATGTAGTATAAAAGTATGTTTCCTATTATTTGTTTGTTTTTTTTTTTAAAAAAAAAGACAAAAAAAAAAAGCCCCAAACTCTAACACAGAAGTATTTTTAAGCTCCTTCCTCATTATAAACTGAAAATGTACACTGTTTTTGGAAGACTTTTCAAATAATATACCCAAAAAGAGATTACCTGAAAATGCTGCCTGTAGGAAGACAATGAGAATCAGAATGGCAATGTGCCACTAATAATACTCAGAAATGCAGCTATTTTGAGGCTGTCATTTCTTTTGTTCACTTGGCTTGTTCTATTCCGGCTGATTCATACCAACTCCAAAACCAAAATGGTCAATAAGGTGCTTCATTAGGGCACGGAAAATAATCTTCAGTCTTGAAGAGGACAGGAGGCTCATAGGCAGTCTGCTGTCGTGAGGAAGACGATTTCTGCAAATCAGATAAAGTTCATTTTTTGCTTTTGTAAAAAATCAAGTTTCAGAAAACCTACAGAACTGAAGTGGAAAACAAAAGGAGTTTTAAAGCCATATTCCCTCACTCAGGTGAACTTCACATTGCAGCTCAGATGGATCTCACTTATTCTTCGTGTTACTTTGACTTTTGCCCTTTCATCACCTAAATAAACTCAGTCTTGAAAAGTGCAAAACACGCCAGCCTTTGCAGGAGCCAAAGGGGAAACAGTCAAGTCATAGTAAACTTCTTCCTTTTGCTCCACAAACTTTTACCTTTCCTGCTCCAGCCTTCTGAGTTCTTCTCAGCTGCCTCCTTCGAATTAGCCTTAGCCTGTATTATCGCTTATTTGCTTAAAACAGTCCTCTTTTGAAATCAAACCTAGCAGATGTTTCTTTCAGGTTTGCTGCTCCTGCTGAGCTTCTGCATCAAGCATATGTTACACTATACATACTATGAACTATGGTTAAAATAATACGGTAGTGAACTGGGGAAGAGTTGTTATGCTGCTTTTCAGGAAAAGTGTACACATTCATCTTCAATACTCTCTATGTATCACGTAATTATTATAACTATGCGTTGTTTACTAAAACTGCTCAAGTAGACAACAGCAAGGACCACTACTGACTGTTCTGTCAGCCTTCTTGTATGTAAATAACGCTGCATGGCAACACAGAGCCAGGGTATATTTTCAACATATGGCCTTAAAGAAAAGGCTTAAAATCATGTTTTGATTAATTAAAAACTTTTATGAAATAAAAAAAAAAAAAAAAACTTTCATGAAACTTCCCATGACAGAATCTGATAAACAGTTTTGCAGAGCTCTCAGTCAGTTTGCATGTGAAGTTTTTCAGCTACTTTTTTGCCTGTCTGGAGCAAAGAGATGAAGAGTCTTCATCAGTGATAAAGAGTTAACAGTAGCATACTTGAAGCTTGAGAGTGCACCCACAAAACAGATGAATGACTTTCCACCCTATTTATTGCTGAAAAACTGCTGGCAAAATGTTCCCATGCAACACGAAAAAGCATTTTATTGGAACTATCAAACTTTTAAATTGAAAACTTTACAGAAAATCCTGTTGAATATTTTTCAAGGGTGAAGCATCAAAGCTATGATGCTCCTATCCACAGCTGCCAGAGTTGTTGTTTGCTTTTTTAATTAGCCCATACATAGCAGTTGTGATGCTGTTTGCTTTGCATGTTGTTCATTTATTTTCTTATTTATTTTAGAGAGAAGGGGCACCACTGAATTTAAACACTGAAGAAAATGAGGGACCTGGAAGTTAATGACTAGCAGCAAATAGTGCTCCTGAACCAAGTCTTACCAAGACAATATTCTTTTCAGGTTTTTTGGTTGGTTGGTTTTTTGCTGCCACACATAGTTACAATATGTAGCAAATAATAAATAATACTTCAGCAACCACATCTTCCTCTCCCACTCCACAAACTGACTTTATTTCAGCATTCTCACTAATACGAGATGGATACCTGAGCTAGAATGGGATGCACATAGGAAAGGATAAAGGAAAGACTGGGTGCTGACAAGATGCAGAGAGACACGCTTAAATGTGGTATATGGTCCATTATAGCAGATGATGACAAGTATGAAATGTGAGGCCAGAAGTTTTTGGTGTTTTTTTTTTTTTTAAATTCAAAGGTTATTTTAAAAAGCAGTGCACAGTGTCAGTTGTTTAAGGCTTGGTATGACATCACCTTGAAACATTCTACAGAGGGTACTTCATGTCTTCTGCAGAAAAATAGACCGCATGTAGTCATGAGGGAAGGTAGAAAAAAATGCACATCCCTTTCAGACAGTTTGACAAGATGCTAACACCATTACCAAATTGTGTGGACTGTGGATAAATTCAACCTTTATAATAAGTATATTGTGTAGCACAGTTTTTACTTCCTATTCTGCTAACTTTCAGCAGTAACTGCATTAATGCATCACATTGCTTCAACAGTGTTATTCATGTAGGCTCTTCCTACCTGCTTTGCATACTGTCAGAGATCAGGGATGCTTCAATATGGGCTTGCTCATTACATGTTCCTATTGGGCCCTTCAGGTTCCCTTCTTCATATATTCAAACTTAGTCTGGAGCATGACTCAAAACTTGTCAGTTCACTTGTCAGAACTTGTGAGGGTTTTTTTTTTTGTTGATGTTGTTTCAGATAAACCTGAGAACTTTGCAAACGTATTAACAAAGTACACAAGTTTGATGTTGAAATTCATTTATATGTGTAACAAACTTACTGTTTATTGTTCTAGTTTGTACCAGTGTCTACTGGTAAGCAGAGAGAACTAAAGCTTACTTACATTACGGAAGGACGGCATGCTGATCGTGTGCAAGATTTTCTTGAATGTGCTTGGAAAAGCTCCAAGGTCTGTTTCTGCCTTTACAACCCGTTCTTCCATTCCAGCCACGAGGTTTGCAATCATCTTCACAAAAGCCTACATGAGGAGAAGAAAGAAGAACAAAGCAGCACAACATTTTCACTAATTCACGTTAAAACAGGATTTGTATTACAAAAAAGCAGTGAAAGAAAGTATTGCTAATGAAAAAGCAGAAAACCACTGATACTCTATTTCCCTTTCATCTGCAAGTCCAATTTATTGCCACAAATCACTCATGAGATACTCAGACTGCAAAAACAGGTCACATCTAATGAAACAATTAGCGTGACCCTTCCTACCTACTTTTCAAGAAATTAATTTAGATTTCATAGAATTATAGAATGACCTAGATTGAAAAGGACCACAATGATCACCCAGGTTCAAGCCCCCTGCTATGTGCAGAGTCACCAACCAGCAGACCAGGCTGCCCAGAGCCACATGCAGCCTGGCCTTGAATGCCTCCAGGGATGGGGCATCCACAGCCTCCTTGGGCAATTTCTTAGAATTTAGATACCTATATGTTTTTCTATAGAAAGTGGGATCAAGAAGGTGAATCACTTGGAGCGTTGAAGCTTTACCAGAAATTGACAGTTCTCTCATTTCATTAGTCTCAGGATAGTTCTCACAGTGACTGAAAGATGCTATAAAAAAAAAAAAAAGAAGAAAAAGCAATACTATTGGCTTTCTGAAAATAGAAGGATAGCTGCCTTGCTTCAAGCAGCCCATTTGAAAACCAAAAGACGTTTTGTTCTAGAATGTAAGAAACTGTTCAGCAATTGCATTCTTTTCATTCTCCCCAAGCACTGAATCTGGAGCAGATATGAAAAAGAAGCGAACCCACTGCACATTCATGCATGCACACACCATTATATCAATGACTGACACAGAGGGGGGCCTTCTGAGTCTGGGAACACAGCCAGAGGATGCCAAACACGTACCTCCAGCTTGTCAATCCTCCTGTATATCTGCCTCATCTCGGTAGCTTTGGTGTAAATTTCAGGTATGCTCTCATTGACAACTTGGGATGAATCACTTCGAATCTATAGAGGGTGAGTTGATGGGATTATACATAAATCGATGAATAGAGCAAAGCGTTAAATACTAGATTTCATTTATAAAACTACAACTGTGCTCCCACTGAGCGGATTAAAACAAATGGATTAAAAATACTAGGGGAAAAAAAAAACAAACCAACGCCAAGTTAAAAGCAGCAAGTTGGATAAGAGATCGGCGCCTCCCACGTACCATGTCCAGCATCCCCACAAACTCGTCTACTCTCGTCAGCAGCTCTTCCAGGCTCTTCTCTAAGCTTTCCACCTGCAAAACGCGTTTAAATGCTTTCGGGGTGCACAACCTCAAGCGCGGGCAGCAAGCGAACGGCAGCGCGCCGAGCACAAAGCAGGGGCACCCCGCCCGCCCACCTGCTCGCTGAAGGCGCTACGCTCGACCAGCAGGTACGCGCTATAGGCGGCGGCGGTTGCGCTGAGCGACGCGTCCAGCGCGTCCCCCTCCTCGTCCTCCTGCCCGCCCAGCCCGGAGGCGTTGCTGTGGCTCTGCGAGACGTTCCCGCTGTCCCCGCCGGAGCAGACCCCCGCCGCCTCGGCCCCTGTCCCCGCAGCCGCCATACCGCCGCCCGGCCGCCCGTCAGGCGACGCCTCCATCACGTGAGCGGCCGCCGGCGCATGCGCGGTGTCGCCGCCTCGCGCCCCGCCCCCTGGCCGCCGGGAGTGGCCCCGCTGCTTACGGATCTCCGGGACTTTACGGCCCCGCTCGCTCAGGAGGCTCCTGCTAGCGAGAGCTAACCTGCACGGAGATCATCGATATCCACACACAGGACTTGCGTTTGTAGGATGGTGCATGCAAAAACAGAAGCAGGGGGTTTGAGGCTGTTTGGTTGTTTTCTTTTTTGTAGTTGATGCAAATGAAGACAATGTTTGCAATTCTGTCACTGCTCTGCCCCTGTGACGCCCCGCCACTCCTCTCCACTAAGCTGCATCTCCCACCTCAGCACCGTCTCCCCCTCCGCATGCAGAACCAGATTTGGGTATTTTCTAACAGCGCATGAACTGGAGAGACACCCAGCCTCCTCCCAGCAGAGCTGCCGCACCTCACCATGAGAAAGGTGCCTTAAGCTTTTCCTGAGGAGACAGAACCAGGTGAAGGCCTGAAGGAAGACTGGAGTCTCAAAGAAAGCCTTGCTACAAAGAGCAGAGCCCCCACGGGGATCAATGCAACAGTACCATTCATAAGGCAGGATGGGAAGATGCGGGAAGAAACATTGGTGCTTTTGGTTTTCACTGCACGGTTGCAGCAAGAGGCAACCCTGAAATGGTAATCTGAAGTTGTCAAAAACGTACCCAAAAAACATACCTCGTTTCACCAAGGAAGTGTGATACTCCTACAGAAGTACTGTACTCCTGCCCTTCAGGATAAGGGAAAGGATATAGCACAGAAGTAAGCTTAGTGCACATTTTATTGCAGATAGGTCACAATTTCATCAGTTAAATAAGGCAAAATGAGTAACCCTCAGCCAGGCAAAACAACTTATTTAAAGAAGGTGTAACAAAACCCTCCTGATAAGATGGTGTGACTGACTGAAGCGTATCCAGCTATTCAGTTTTTTACTGCACCAATATAATCACTTTTTTTTTTTTTAATGAAAACCTTTGGTAAAGTACAAACATGTATTTAAGACATAGGATCAATGTGCTATTCTTACTGTGCTGGGAAAAATAAGTATAGCTCTATAACTGCTGTGACACCTAGAAAAGGTTTAATTAAAGAGTCTTAAAATAAACTTTTAAAGCAAATCTAAAAGAAACATACTAAGTTCAATGTCCCAAACATACTTAACAATGAGCAGAAGACTGGTTGTTCCACAGGCATTCTAAATTAGCAATAATCAATTAGTCCACATATCCTTTGTCCAGTCATTACATATTCCAAAATGGAATGTAATATTTTTTTTTTCAAACCAAGACTTCTGAATTTTCATATTCATACAATATTTAAGAAATGTCTATTTCACCATATAAAAAAAAACCTTTAATGTACTACAAAGTTAAAAACAAAAAGAAAAAGACAAGCTAAAAGTAGAAAAATACATTGTAAAACATTTATATTTTGCTCCTTACACTGATTGAGATGTAACAAAATACTTTAGATTTGATCATTTTAACAAATTCATGGCATTTCAGATGTGAGCAGTTATCCACTCAGCAGTCACTGGTTACCCCTTAACTAGCATCCAGTAGGGATGTCTGGCCACCGCCAACATCCAGCATATTGTAAGTTTCTAGAAATCAAGTGTAGACATAAAGCTTTATGGTTACTAGAAGAGTTCAAAAACAATAGAACTATTCTAAGTTAGCTTTGAAAGACAGTCAGCATCCCTCCTTGGTATAGCAATTGGCCAAATTTTGGTAAGAAAGGACCTCCAGGATTTAGGCTGTATACAGCAAGAACCTATCTTGGTGGGGAAGGAAACAGTCCTAGCACTCTTCCATTTCTTTTCACCTTCTTGCGTGTAATGTATCCCTAGAATTCACATGAACTTGATACTGAAAAAGAGATGGTGAGAAAATTTGAAAAAGAGGTATTATCTAATAAATATCAAAAAGAATACATTTGACACATAATGAACAGTTTTAAGCTCTCATTGTCATGATTTTGTTTTCCCATATAGTATAGATCTGTGTTGCAGGCAGATCTGCCTCTGACCAGCAGGTGGTGCTGATCCCAAAGCAATAACATCACCCTCTAACCTCCTCTCCCTACACTTTAAAAAACACATACATTTTTTCATTTGGGAAATGCATTTGCAGCATCTCCCTACCGTTGTTACCACAACGGCAGAAAACTACTTTTACAGAGCCTGTCTGGTTTAGACATAACACTGCAAATGTGGCATAAACAAATTAGCAGAAGGTCTGTATGTAATGCTATTGAGAAGAGCTCTTTTAAAACTCATATCAGAGGAAAAACAGATTCCACTTCAAATAGACATCTGTTATTACTATTAAAACCTAACTCATATACATGTGTGTATAAATACATCCACCCATGCATTCAAACCCAAGCATGTAGCACTGCCAGTGGTAGCTTGTAAAACTGCTTTAATTTATACAAACTACAACTAATCTGCCCTCTTACTTTAGGACTGAGATATAAACCAGCTTTTACACTCTGGCATTCTCCTGATCAATTTTGCAGTGCATGGCAGTCTTCTGTCTAACTCCAAATGCCATGTTTCCTGGACAGCAAAAATATTCTGCACCTGTGAGGTCTATGAGAATATCAGCTCTGTTTTGTGCATAACAAGTTTTAAGAGTCAATTGTCCCCATTGGCACTTAAGACTGAAAAGAGTTGCAGCAATTGCTACTAAAGCGTAATAACTGTGCCATCCTCCTCAATTCCTCCTCGGGGAATGACCAGACTGTGTCTGGGATCAGTTTTTAAGGAACTGAGTAATTTGTGGATGCTGCCATTGCTTTCTCGGCCAGAGTTGTTGTTGAGCACCAGGTCCCTTTGAAGTCTGTGGCTAAGGCTGCTGCCATTGATTCTAGACAGGCTACTGGAAGTAAGGCTGTGCAGTTTGGGAATGTGCTGCGGCTCCAGACTGCCCTCGATGACAATGTCAGCCTCTTCATCACTCTCCATTTCATCAGGGTGGAAGTTCTGCAGTACGTGAGATGTAGGCAAGCTGTGGTGACTAGCGGTGCTGTCTGTAGACTGCCCAGAGCTACCAGACATCCTACTGCTCCGAATAATATTGTTCCTCTGGTTCGCTGGCTTGACCGTGATAATAAGGTTATGGCTGTTAGCAATCATCATGTCTGTGACTTGGTCGAGAGTCTTTCCTGCTACTTCAATGCCGTTAACTTCCAGGACTTCATCGTTTACAGCCAACAAGCCTGTGCTCTCTGCTAAGCCCCCAGGAACCATACGAGAGATGAAGATACCAGGTACTTTTTCCAGTCCGTGAGGAGTAACCCTTACGCTGGTGCCATCGCGTATGTAAAATCCTAAAGGTTTCTCACACCCGTGTCGATACAGCCTCACTCTCCTGTGTGTTTCAGGAAGAATGTCCACATCGATTATGGAAGACACAGGCCTAAAATCGTGAGGCATGCCAATATTAATGTGAGGACGCCGGCGGAGGTTGTCGTTGCGGAGTGTCACCAGAGCCTTCTTCTTCCTTGACAACGTGTTGGTCCCAAAATTACTGTAGTCCACTTCATCTGAAAGATAAAACGTACCACTGTATCAAACAGAATGATTCAAACTGCAGGGAGTTTTCCCTCCCTACTCTGGTTCACTGAAGCTGTACTCCCAATAGTACAGAAGAAGTCAAATTCTTCTGCTTACCCTCACCTTTGTTTCAGTTTAAGTCCATTGACACATCATTCAGAATGAATTAGCTGTTTCCAATGCCTTATCCATATTTCTTCCACATTTTGAGGAAGGAGACTTCTGATTTCATACTCTTGCATGAAATGCAATTACTTGCAGCTGCAAGCCTGATACACCTTCTTATATGACATTGTATTTTCAGAGTTAGATAGTAATTTTATACATACATGTCACATGGAGAAAAATGTGTCTACAATTTCTAATATAAAAGCCTGAATGAAAGAATATTTTAATATCCGTCACAGCATTAACTGATAGCAGACCTCAAGCACAAACACAAAAGCAGGGTATGAGAGAGTTAGCTGGATGTGTATTTTTAGCCTAGCCACTTTCACTGAGGGATTTATGTTAATACACACCTATCAACGCTGCACTCTTCTCTTTGGAATATTTTAATTTCCGAAGAATTTGACAGCCACAGGAAGTGCTAAAGTGTTAAATTTAAAACAAAAAAAAAAGAAAAATTGTGGAAGTAAGGTGCCAAGCAGAATAGAAGAGGGGAGAGAGAAACTGCCCTGTTGCATAGTCCATATGCTGAGGAGCACAGAACAGATGCGGGCTTGCACAAACCCTCCCACTCTTGAGAAAAATCCAGAGGAAAGCAGCCTTTGTCAGATCTACTGCAGAAGTTAAAATACTTTGGTCTCTGTCAATGTATTCAATGCACTTCCAGGGCATGTGCAAAGTGATCTACTTTAAACCAGCTGAACAATATATAAATGTCCACTGTCACGTTATTCCACGTAAGAAACTCATTTTGTGCTTTGCAAAAAATACCTAAATATTCATGAATTACCTAGTGTAAAAAAAATGTGCCACTGCAGTTCACATTAGAAATACTGCGCATATTTTGAACATGAAGCACAATACTAGCTAGAAAGGCATTTCACCAGGGGTTTAAACATGCTAACACTATTCAGATAAAAACTAACAGACTTTCAGTTTACTGTTGAAGACAAGCAGTAAAATACAGAAATACAATTAGTTTACAGAAGTGTGGTGAAGCTTTTGCTCATATAAATTAATCCTGCATAACAACACTTGAGAAAGTAAAATAATATCTCTAGATAACAAAGGTTGGAAAAAGCATGCTACCGAGGCAAACTTTACCCCAGACTTTCATTTTAAGATGGTAAAGTTAAAATTACATTACATGCAAGTTTTTGTTTGAAACTGCCTCTTGTACCACGCAAAAACTAAACTCAAACCAAAAGCTGCATGTCATTAAGACTCAGAAAATCAGTCTGG